TCCCGTAATTGGCTTCCAAACTGTGGATTTGGATAAAGGGTTTTAAAATCTTGCTTGTTCATTTTTTATGTGCAGAAGATAAAAGCTGTCAAGATGCCCTTTGGGGAGAGTTTGTGGCGGTGTCTGACAAAGCTTTTCGTTGACTTTCCTTCTCAGCACTGTGATGGTGGCTGGTGTGCCACTGTGAGGTTTTTTGTTTTGTTGTTGTTTGTTTTTTCCTTATCCACTTGGCAGGGCTCACCTCATATTTCCCTGGGAAAAATAATCTTAAGTTTTCTGGTTCTGTAGATCATTTATAGAACGTTCCTTCGACCATAAATTTTGGGGGTGATTGAAGACAATGGATACATCTTTCAGATTGATTATGCTTCTGCCTTGATATTTTAAGTCATATAACTTGGTAAATCTATAAAGGCGTGCTTGAGCACAGAGCTGTGGCCTTGGGTGCTGTTGAGGCATCCTGAAACTTGTCCATGCTTCGGCATATTTAGGTCACTCGGTGTTTGCGATCAGACAGTATATAATGGCGGTGGCTTGGGAGCATGGGATCTGTACGTTTTGCTGCTACCTAGGGAACCTGACAACAGGTGTTCAAAATAGAGTTGAGGAGACAGAATATACCAACCGTGTACAAAAACTCCCTTCCTTTCTCCTTCCAGTTTCTACAGTCTGGGACAGTCATTTAGTCCCGAGGAAGAGAAGGGGAAAAGGGGCAAGGGTTTGGGATGTTGGGGAAAGTGGACAACTGTTACCGGTTTTTAGGTTGTGAATCCAGACGATTTGGAGGAGATTAGCTCTGAGGCTTAGTGTCCACAAGTTAGTGCTTGCTCTTCTCAAGGAGGAAGAAAATTATGCAGCACTGTCAAATGTCTTTCCTGGGGCTCAGTCCATTCTGTTTTAAGCCCTTAGCAGGTTTTGAGCCATATGGCAGAGTCAGATTAAAAAGGCATTCTGAAAGAATCCTGCTGATTACAGATCGGGCCAGAATACTGGCTCTTTGCTTTTATCACCTTCCTATGGCCAGGACCCTATATACTTAAACCCTTTTCTCCATCATTAATTCAGAGTGAGAGCACTTCCCCAAAGGGCACTCTGAAACCCCACTTGTAGAGCAATTGAAGAGGTTCCCCATTTGTTATCAGCAGCATGAAAACAGTCTCAGGAGAAGAAAACATTTCAAAAGGCAGAGTGCCATAATGAGGCCCTTATTTAAGGGCGAGCTGCCTGCCCAAGCAGGGGACCTTTGGAAAGACATGTAATTGGCACACATTTCTAGAGAAAGTACAATGGTCATGAATGGCTGATTGTTGTGAAAATAGGCTTTCTATTTCTACCAGGGTCTCAGAAAACATTAGACCTTGGCCTGTGGCTCCTAGGGGTTTAGGGGAGCACATGCTAGAACTGTGCTAGGAAGAGAAGGTAAGACTCAGGCCCTTTTCCTGATTTAGGTCCCTGTTTTCTTATCTCCAGCCTTTCCAGCTCCTTCTGTGCCTGCCTTTTTTCTTCTTCCCATATTTCCACGAGACAGTGTTGTGTGAGCGTGTGTGCATATAAAACAACTGTAGAAGACACTACAGAAGGTATTTTCATGAATGTAAAACAAATCTTAAGATTTAATAACTCTGTGAAGGATTGAAATTTCTCCCACTAGTATTTTTTTTTTTTTTGAGCAAATTTTAGAAATACCTTTTCATGAGGAGTGAGGAGGAAATTATTTACTTAGAAAGGAAGCATGCCTATAGTAGTTTATTCGAATAGACAGACCTGAAGTATCAATAGAGGAGGTGGAAGAAAATAGAAATTATAAAAAGTGTATTACCATTAAAAAAAAAATGAAGCCATTGGAGAAAACCCTTGCTGGAGCTTTGGTGTGTTTAAAAGCTGCCTTCACGACGTTTATAAACAGTAGGAGTCCGCTCCAGCGTGTGTTTTACAGATTGAAAACAGAGCTGGCTAATCTTAGCTGTGAGGCCATAAAAGGAGAGAAAAGGGAATGTATAGCTTTGCAGGGGTGCAAGTGCAGTAAATCACAAGGGTCCACAGTGACACCCCAGACTAAGCCGCGACACCCCTATGAGAGTTGTGGGTGTGCCTTTCCAACTCTTCAAAGAGACCAATCTGGATCTACTTATATATTTTTTATTATAGTAAGTGTACACAATGCACAAGTTGGCATTTTAACTCTCATTGCGTGTGCCACTCAGTGGTTTTACTCATCACTACTGTCCCCTGGACATTTCCTAACCCCAGCGAGGTGTTCTGCACGTCTTAAGCAGTAGTTGGTTTACTCCCCCGGTCCCTCACCAGCCAGTGGTAACCCGGCTTTCTTCTCTGTGTCTGTGGATTTGTATATTCTAGGTGTTGTGTGCTAGTGGAATCATAGAGTATTGGTGTGTGTTTCCATCTCACATCAGAATTGTCTTCTTTATTTTGCCTGATAAGTCCAATGTAGGTCTGGACCATGTTGTCGCTATCCACCCATCTTTTGACAGACACTTGGGTATACTCACCATTTGACTGCTGCAAACAGTGTGATTGGAACACTGATAGTGTTTTTAAAAGTGTCTATTAGGGAGACCGTGTTAAGGACACATGGGTGACTAGCAGAATGGGCATGTGGCTTTGTGTTGCCCATTCTCCCACAGGTAGCA